AGAGGGAAAAGAAAGAAACCACATCCACATGTAAAGAAKCCAAACTCAATCARGCGGGTAARGATACTTACATTTCTCTCAACTTGTTCTCTCTGCACTTGAAGATCACGTTCATTTTTCTCAGCAAGTGCTTTCGCCTGTTTGAGAAAACAATTCATGTTAATAKATATACTAGTGAATCTTGTGTCATTGTCACATACAAAACCCATCAAAGGAAAATATTTAACAACACTATTGATACGTACAGCCCGCTCCTGTGTCCTCTGGTGGCGTTCAAGTCTGGCACGTCGTCTCTCTTCGGTTTCCCCTTCAACATCTGGAAACCCACCAGATTGGGTAGCTGAACCTATACCACACAGGAGTTTTCAGAAGGTGACCAGGTAWTAAGACATGAAACTAAATATGGCGGATAAACCTCAGAAACTGAAGTACCTCCACCAAATATTGAACTGAGATCATCAACAATGTTTGTTGCTGAAGAGGCCTTTCTCAGGTTCTCTGATGCTCCAGAAGGCACTCGCGAAGATGCCTTGCTAGATTCGAAAGATCCTCCCTTGTTCCACGAATCTTGGAAAGGATCCTGCAACAGAACTAGAGTTATAYGAAGAGACTAATCTCCTATAAAAATGACGTAATGCATAACAGAAGTAGATATCCCATCGCACCGAAGGGTTGGTTCTCTGTCGTGGAGCACTACTTGGTCTAGAGACCGAGTTAAAGAAGGAGTCAAGATCATTGTTATTCTCTTGCTGCTTAGCTTTAGCTTGGGCTGCAGCCCTTCCACGTGCCTCTGCAGCTGCCCTTTCCACAGCAGCTCGCTCTGCCCTGACCCTTGCTTCCTTCTCCCYTGCTTCAGCATTCGCCCTTTCTCTAGCTTCTGCTGCAGCTTTCTCGGCCTTTTCTCTTGCCCCTGCAGCAGCTCTTTCACGTGCTTCAGCATGAGCTCTTTGAACRGCTGCTCTCTCTGCACGCGCACGGTCATCGGAAGCCTTCCCAACAGCCGCTCTTTGAACTTTCGCATGAGCCTCAGTGGCTGCTCTRTCGCGGGCTTCCCTTGTAGCCCTCTCTACCGCCTGTTTCGCCAGCAYTCTTTCCCTTTCTTTCTSAATTCGRT